GCCATGCTGCTGTTGTACCAGTTATTTCAGTATAATTTACATCTAATCGTTGTTTATTCTACATGGAAACCAAGTAAACTTTACATGTAGTTGGTGGTTGTTTTACATTGAAATCCAGTACAATTTATAGATGTTTCTGTAAAGTTGTTTACACGTGTACAGTATTTTTTACAGAATAATTCTGGCAACCACAGCTGCCAGCTTTTTTCCGTAAAAACAACGGGATTTTTTTTACATTGTAGCAATTAAACAGTCACACTCTGAGGTCACACTTTACATAACAACATGTGTCCTCTACTGCTTATTATTACTTCACTAATGAATTATGACTTTTATCTCATCAGTGTCAATTCCTGAACAGAATTCATCTGTATTTCTATTTCAGCAGCAACATAAAATGCAGAATGATTAATGACCAGGTTTGCAGAACTCCTGTTTTTTTCCATAAATGTTGTTTTCTTGTTTACCTGAGGCATGACATTTCTTTAACATACATACAAACACACATGCTCACATGCATACATACAGATACATACATGCATGCAAGCAAATGCACACATACATGTAAACTCATACATACATAAAGCATAAGCCATCCTTTGTCAATGTCCATGTTTTGATTAGTTCTGAATATCTGAACTGGCAAAATGAAAAGGGATTTTCGCAGTGTTTTTCAGTTTCTTGTAATCCATCTTTGATGACTCATTAAGATGACAGAGATTGCATGTCTACAGCGACACACCTGCAGAGGCACGTCTACAAGGGCAAATCTACAGAGGCACGTCTGCAGGGCATGTCTGCATAGGCACATTTATATAGGCACATATACCGAACCACGTATACTGAGGCACATCTACACTAACATATCTAGAGACACATCTACAGACGCATGTCTACAAAGGCAAGTCTACAGAGGCATAGCTGCTGAGGCACATCTACAGAGGCACGTCTACTGAGGCACATCAACAGACGCGTGCCCAATTCACACAGGGCTCCTTTCTTATGGATACTTTTTTTCTTTGAGAGATCTTTTACTCCATGCTTGGGGGTGGTGTAGTGATGCACTGGTCAGCACTGGTGCCTCATCCATCTGGGACTAGCGTTCAAGTCTTTGCCATGGCTCCATGTGTGTGTAGTTTGCATGTTCTCCCATCATGGGTTTTTCTCTGAGTACTCCAGATTCCCCCCACAGTCTGAAGGCATGTGGAGGTTAATTGGAGTTGCCAAATTGCCTGTAAGTGTGCATGAGTGCGTGTGCATGGTGTGTGACTGTGTCCTACAATAAGTTGGCGCCCCATCCTGGGTTGTCCCCTGCATTGTGCCAATAGGCTCTGGAACCCCTGTGACCCAGAATAGGATAAGCAGTTACAGAAAATGGATGGATATTCTTTGCTTATAAACTATTTCACAACAAAACATGGAGTAACCCTCTGGCAGAGGCCGTGTCACTTAAAATACTATATTCTTAGATGTTGACACATACCCTATATGGACAAAAGTATTGGGACACCTGGCCATTACACCTACAACAACTTTTATGACATCCCATTCTAAATCCATAGGCATCAATATAGATTTGGTCCCCCCTGTGCAGATATAACAGTTGTCACTCTTCTGGGAAGGATTTCCACAAGATTTTGTCTATGGGAATTCATCCAGAAGGGCATTTGTGAGGTCGGGCACTGATGTTGGATGTGAAGGCCTGGCTTGCAATCTCCATTCTAGTTCATCCCAAGGGTATTTGATGGGGTTGAGGTCAGGGATCTGTGCAGGCCAGTCAAGTTCTTTCTCACCAAACTCACCCAACCATGTCTTTATGGACCCTGCTTTGGGCTCTGAGGCACAGTCATGCTGGAACAGAGAAGGGCCTTCCCCAAACTGTTCCCACAAAGTTGAAAGCATAGAATTTGTCCAAAATTATGAAGCTTTAAGAATTACCTTCACTGGAACTAAGGGGCCTAGCTCAAGCCCTGAAAAACAACCCCATACCATTATCTCTCCTCCACCAAACTTTACTTTTGGCACTTACTTGGAATATCTAGTAGGGAAGAAATTTCACAAACTGACTTGCAAAGGTGGCATCCTATGACAGTACCAAGCTTGAATTCACTGAGCTCTTCAGAACAACCCATTCTTTCACAAATGTTTGTAAACCTCACTGCATGGCTAAGTGTTTGATTTTATACAGCTCTGGCAACGGGTCTGAATGAAACACCTGAATTCAATGATTATGAGGTGTGTCCCAATACTTTTGTATGAACAGTATAAATCTAACATTTAATTTAAAAAATACTTTGTCACAAATTACTTTTGCCATTTACGGAAAATACTATTTTAAAATATGGATTTATGGATTTGGGATACTTTTATATACATTTTTACAAGTTACTTGTAGTCATTTAAAAATATAATTATTCAAAGTAAAGTGTGTTATATACAAAGGCTTAATAGCACAAACAATCTGACAGCAGTGATGCTTTTCTTACAGAAAAAAAGAAAAATTATGAAACCTGTTTATAGAAAGAATACAGATTTCAGCATTGTCTGCATTAACATGTGAAGTCATTCTCCCCTCTGGTCCTTCTTTCAAGACATTGTGTGTGAAACTCTACTATATTAAGTAGATACAAGCATAAGGAATAGCTTCACCTGTTACCAGGTGAGTTTAGCCTAATGCTAGTTCTTGCCTGACCTTGACAGATCCTTGGTTTACACAGCCATACAGCTTTCTCCATAATTGTCAGGGGCATTTCATGTCACCAAATCATGTTAAATCATGTTACTTAACTCTTGGGTAATAAAAATAAGCCTGATAAAATCTTCAGGAGAAAAAAATTGATTGTGGGACCCTTTATAGATCATTTTACTTTATGCACTATTCTGTTTGGCTGGACACATATATACTGTATGCACTGATACTTATATATTTCAGGTTTCCAATGAGGAAGACAATGAATAGTTTGTATACCATCCCTAAGCAACAAATCAAATCTAGCAACACCTGTTCACTCAAAAAGTATGAAGATCTCCAGAAAACTCTATGGTCTTTTGACAGCTTTTTTTGAAAGTCACCCTTGCCTCAGCCCAAGTAACTGTATAACGCTGTTTGATATTCTGATGGGGGATGAAGTACCTCACAGTGATGCTTACCACACAGTAATACTTTATATTAACAGGTCCTGCTAGAATTAGTTATGACACTGCTATAATAGCACCATTTGGACAGCAGAATCAATGACTGGAATGCTCAGATAAAAACACATTATAATAAGTATTCTTTTGTCTTTAAAACTGAGGTATGGCTATCTGTTTGTATTAAGCTTATGGCATCATAAGCAACTCAACTGATAAAAGATAATAATGTGTGAATAATGAAAAGGTAAATAAGACCAAACAAAGTTGAGGCCTGATATTGCTTAGAAGTGCCCAGTCTTTTTGGAGGAAAACCTCTACACAAACAGGAACCTGCTTGCACACAGAAGAGTACACTGATGTCTGACTCCTTCCCTGTTGGCTTTATCTAAATGCACATGGAATTTATTGTATTTACGTGTGTGTATGCTTAGCTGGGGAAGTAGTACTCCTCATGGCTACCGCGGTAAGGCACATTCTGAGACACACGTTACAGGTTACATGTCTGTGCTCATAGCCACCTGCTTGATATGTTAATGAGAATTAACTAAGAACTAAAAACTTACTGTATAGTGACATGAACATACAATGCTGTCCAAGGTGCCCCCTGCTCCGTTGACCTGTGCCTCCTGGGAGAGGCTCTATACTCATAGCAGCTCTGTATTGGATAAATGGTACATGGATGGATGGATGGATGGATGGATGATCATGCAATAAGACAGAAGGTCTCCCAAACCTCACAAGTGTCTGGCTTCATGACACAATAATAGATAGATAGATAGATAGATAAAATATTGCTCACTGTGGTTATTTTATGTGTTTTAGTTCACATCTGTCAGCAGCCCTTCATATGTCACAAAATCAAACATGAAAAACATAGTTTCATAAGCACCTTAAGCAACATTTCATTTGAATTCTGTGCACCAAAGTCAAGCCCTGCTGCACTGTGCCCTATTCACCCACCGAATGTATCCTCTAGACGAACAATAGGGAGTGGTGGTACTACAAAGTGTCCAATTTCAAACTTCAGAATTGCTGGAAGGGGCTGGAACAACCAGGAACAAGAGCGATGAAAAGATTTGTCATCAAACATTAACATAACTGCAGCAATGTGATATTTATAGGAGAATTCTCTGATTAATGTGGTTAAATTAATAACCAGTCAAAAGATTGATGTACAATTTTCACTTTTAACAAAAAATGTCTTCTGAGCCAAATATCCTAGGGTGTGTTTCCCAAAACCTGCTCTTATCAACTTACAAGATTGGACCTATTCAGTTGCATCGTTTCAACTATATTCCAACTACTCTGCTTTTGGGAGACACACCTCTGAAAAGTAAAGAAAAAGCCATAAATTCCAGAAGTGTTATAAATATGAATTCAAGATATTCTATGTTTCAGAACTTAAGTATTCTGTCAGGGTAGCCTGATTTAAAATGCATAAAAAATGCATAACTATATGTTTTTTTCACATTCACTAGACTATTACATTATTGATTTAAAATTGCTATAATTAAAAGTTCTTAGCAATTCTTATTGCTTAATGGCCTTTACTATTCCAGAATTGTGATTATCTCCTAATTTTAAACTCAAACAATATCCGATTTAAAAGATGAATAGAATGTTTAACGTCTCGCATAAAAAGGGAATATGTGTTGGCAGGCTTTTCCTTTATTAAAACATATCTAGGTTAAAAAATACCTCAGTATGAACTAAAAAGCTATGGGTCATTAACAAATCTCCGATTAGTCAAAACAATTTACATTCGGAATTCACGACACGGACAAAAAAATAATATGCCTAATACGTTTTTGTCATCATTTTTAAGTATAAGGCGACAGGTGCCTAAGAATGAAAAAAATGCTCACCTTTATTCCTTGTTGCTGAGTAGTTAACGTCAGTTTAGTTTCATCCAAAAGTAAAACCTCACAGTAAAATTCCTCTTGAGTAGCACAGAAACAACTCATTTCGAAACAAAGTGGATTCGGGCTGTTTTAATGCACTGAGGGGGCACCTGCAAACCCCTCTCCCGAAGTAAATAAAGAAAAAAATTAAAAATTAAAAAATGCTGCTTCCTAGTCGTAGACTCATAGTTATTCACAGCTATATGTTAGCTCTTTAAATCTAGCGGGTATTTTAAAGATATTTTGTAGCCTACTGTGTTCATGAAACGGCGGACAGTGAAAAACTATATTCTGTTCGTATAACTTTACAAAACACGCACGAATCTAAATACTACATTTAAATGCATTTCAATATCATTAAAATGTTTCCTACGCTGATAGGTTACCACACGGCCAAATAACTACATCCGTATTTCTTTATTCCCACCTTACAGAAATTAACAGAAATTCTTTGTCTTAACTTCAGTGGAACATCCAGTAATTCCCACAGCAATTATGATATTTTTCACAACGCAGCACCAGAATATCGCCTCCCCTGCTTTTATTGACTGCCAGATTAATGTTAAACATGGGTTTCCGTTTTTCTCCGTTAAGATGATGTCGAAATTTCTCAGAAAGTCCTTATTCTTTATCTCATCCGCTCAGGCGTTCCCTGCCTTAATACACCTCGATGTCGGGTAATGCTTTCCGATCGCTACATTTCGCACGGAGCGAAACACGCTTCTTTAAAAAATATGATCCAAGCGTTGTATTTTTGCGAGTATGAAAAACGCTCGTCTGGGTCACAGATCCGCAGAATAATGGTCATGGAGGATCCCTCGTCTGTATTTCGGGTATGCGTGTTGCTAAGAAGCAGTGCCCGTCTCCCCGGACTGTATTTCCTCGCACCGTGACCCCGCCTTCGGGGACTCGGGCACCTCGGACTTGAGTGGGATAGATCGCGCTGCCACCTGTCGGGGACTACGGACCACAGGGAGAGTATATGCTAGCTGTTTGTTTTCCGCCTCATTAATTCACGAATATACAGGTTGAGTGAATATACGATGCACGTTTGACAATAACATAGTGCAAGCAGTGTGCCATTACTAAAGTCGACTCGTTTAACTTATAGGCCTACGGGTGAGAAATAAATTGGACAGATAGATGGCCGATTTATTTGAGCAATTTGAAAAGTTCAACTGAAAGACAGGGAAATGTACTACGCAACAAAATAAAGATTTCGATAAAAAAATATATACTCAGTAGTGCGATTAAAACATGACCTAAACACAGAAGGAAATTGCAACAGAGTAGCCTACACCAGTAATTAATTGTAGTCACCTATTTTTAAAAAATAAACCTCTTTCCATCCTCTCAATATCAACATACCTCGTTTTTCCATTACTTCAGTATCAATATATATCCCAAGCATTTTTTCCCACGTAACCAAGGTGATTTATGGGGCTGATACTCTACTCCTTGTCTGGGCATATTACTCCCCCTATCGGCCATTTCATGTCAGCAGCTCACTGAATGTATATTATGCAATATTTTTATATATAAATATTCAAATTTTCACTTCTAAATATCAAATTAATTTAACTGATCATTCAGCCAATCCTCGTGTCATTTATATTTAACTTAAAAAATCTATAGCCTACTGCCAGTATTTTTCTATTATTTAGCAAACAGTTCCAACATGACTACAGTCAAGACAATACACAACAGTACAAAGGTTAGCAGCAGATAAGTTGTGACTAACAAAAACAAATGAAGCTAAATGAAAATCTCTAAATATTTTATCGATTGTCTTTGCAGACACAATAGAAATTAATTCCCAAAATCTATATCCAATGCAATAGGTTTGGCTCCAGTTTTTAACCAGTGTTTTTGCAGAAATGCAGTGGTTGTATTACACTGTATAAATGGAGTTTAGGGCTTAAGTCACATTCATCTAAATTAAAAAAGTGTATTCTGAAATGCCATTTGTTAAGATATTTATAAAGCACTTTGGATTTCGATATCATGTTATTTTCTTGTGGACAGAAAGTTTTTTGAAGCATAACTGAAGTGTTTAAGTTTTTAAGTACTAAAGAGATGACAAAGAGTTTTCCTGGAAAACAAAGTAGGCATATTTGGTTGATGTTTTCAGTTCTGTAAGTTCATTTCCTATTTACAAACTAGACATATGGAAACTGGAGGTACTGTAAAACTGGGTAGAATCACATCACTCGAGGAAGGTGGAAGGTGGAAACAGCAAACACCAGCATATTCTCGAGTCATTCAGATATGTTATGCTACATTTATAGCTTAATGCTTGAATCTGCAATGTGCCTTTGTATATAAATTATCCATATATAGGATACTTGTACCAAACTATTTATAGAAACTCCTAGGACTCTCCAGTTCTGCTAAATCAGGTGGAAAGTTGTGACCTTTCTCATTGTGGCATTTCGCATATTATGTTTGAGCCAGTTATAGAGCTGGCTCATTGGCTATCTCTGTGGCCTGGTACACAAATTATGCCTGTGCTCTGTGTGCGTTAAGTTTGTATGATCTTCCTATGTCATGTGGGTTTCCTCTTGTATTGTCACCCAGTTAATATAACTGCTCTCTTCGTAGTGTCCATAGTGCGTTAGGGCATCCCCTTCAGGATGCAACCCTCAGCATAAGTGACTGGAAGCTAGTTGGATAACAGTGATCCAGTTTTTGGCCTGGTACTATTGAACACGAGTAGAACAAACGTCCCTCCTGGGTGTTGGATTTGCTCTGCAAAAAATAAAGCGGTCAATACCTGTTATACTGGATCAGCTTAATTATCTATCCCAGAATTACCAGTATTTTGATTGTTAGGAGGTCCTCTGATTCCAGATCAGCCGTAAGTCACCATAGGGCATTCCTACATTTCCAGCGCATGCGCATTGGCTGGCAGTTCACACAATATGGCGGGCCTGAGGATGGCGGCCGCCGCTTAGGAACACCGGAGGGAGACAAAGAAAGAAAAGTTTTCACTTGTCTCTATCCATGACTGTAAGTGGCGGAGGGGAGAGTTGTCCCCTCGAAATCAGTCTGATGTGGATTTTTAATTTGGCGATATCTTCGAGAGCACACATGTTGAGAGGCGAATAAGGTAAATACTGATTTTGTGTGAAACAGCCCGAAGTGCCGTTTAACGGCGTTAGCTAGCTGTATTGAATAGTTACTGCCTGTCGGCTAACAACATTTAGACAAACTTTTTAAAACAAAAATATCGTCGGAAGCCACGTCGACGGGTTTACCTGGCGACTGGATAACGGCACATTGTGTTTAACGCTGGTTCTCTAATCCAGCTAAACCACCTTAATACTAATATCTGCATGACAACCTGTTAGCTTATTACAGATATTCAGTATTTAAATTCTCGGCAAATATAGCCTTCTGCTGAATCGTGTACATCCACCGCGCCGGTTGTAAACTCTGTGAACTGTCCCCACAGCACGTTAATCGATAGTTAGCTTACCGGGCGCTGTGCCCTGGTGTTATTGTAAAATGTAAGGCTGCTTACAGTAACCTTTGATTGTAACGTTACGAAATCACCGTCCTCTGTTGTGTCTGTTTGTTTTTTGGTTTCTGCTGAAGTAAAAAGCGGACAGTTTGAGGACAGGCTGCGTATGCCGCAGCCAGGCTGCAGCGATAGAAGTAGTGTTTGTTTCACAGAAATGTCGGCTCTCCCTGGTCTGTCCCTGTCTCCCCCTATTACCTATCTCCCTAAAATCCCAAGCTTCCATCGTTGAAAAGCCTTTGCTGGGCGGCGAATCAATGGTAATGTGAGGGCCAGCTGTAGGTGATAAGATGGGCATTTTGTTTCAACCTCGAAGTTTTAGACGTTCTACTGCAGTGATCGATCTTATCCACCAATGTTAGTGATTGATGGGGGTGAGCGGATTTTCATGGTTTGCATTCCAACACGGGTTTTCCTGATGTGATTGTTTTTGGTTGGTAGAGGCAGATGTTTGGGTAATTGTGGTGGTTCTTGTTTACCCAGAAGTTGTATAACTTAATGGCTTTTTTCTAAGGACCTTTTTTTTGGAGCACCATAAATGAGATGTGTGTTACATACACATGAAAGACACAGTGGAAAAACATAATAATATAGAACAAAACTGGCAACGATAACCAACTAAACTATAATGTGTCATAAGATGGGATTTGAAACAATCCTTGACAGACTGGCTTGAATCCCTGCTTGAGTCAGATTCGCCACCCTGCTTCTCTCTTATCAGCCTTTTTCCCTATAGCTTTGGTTTAATGATGTTGTATATTAGACATTTCTGGTGACTGCGGCATCTGTGCCCAACTCAACATTTTTTCATTATGTGACATTTTCCAGTTACATTTACGTGAATTGCTGTTAAAGAAGTAATCCCAGCAAACACACCTATATTAGCCCAATTAAGGTGTATGTAGACCTATGTGTGTGTTTTGTATAGATTTTGGGAACTGGGTTTTGAGTTCGGGGGCTGGTGTTCCACTGCAAATTATGGGCCAGACACTTGCTTACATCTCAGGCAGGCTTTTATTAAAATGGCTCAGGAAAATGGTTGTAGAGCAGCCCACAAACTGTAATCTTAGTTTCTCATTCCGTGCTTAGAGTCTTGCGTAGAAATTTAGTATGCATTTGAAGAGCAGTACCTGTCTTGGGATTTGCACTGGCAGCCTTCAGGGTTGCAAATGTGTCCTCCCAGCCATGTATTAAAGCAGTAAAACTGCATTGGCCTAAATCCATTGGGGGAAGCGGTCAGCTTTCGACCAACCTGCATAATCTTTTTAATTGTATAAATTAAACTTGATATTTTTCTTTGTGTTGTGTAGAAAGAATGACATTTTACTTATTTGTTGTCAGTGGTTTTACAGCTTACTTAATTCGACCCACACTGCATATTTATGTGCAGTTTTAGTCAGACTCATTATAAAGCTGATTGCTACAAAGTGGTGACACTTTGGAATATGGGCATTTGGTATAGACATTGATATCAGAAAAGTACCGATTTGCTGTAATATATAATGAAATATATAATGAAAATGATATTTATAGGAAAATGGTATATAGTAAAATTCAGGCATCTTGTTCTCCAAGTTTGGTATGATGTAAAAAATTTTGGGTGGGGGTTGCTATTTTCCGAACATTAGTAGCAGCAATAGACTGTTTGCATTCAGGCATAAGTGTTTTAGCTGAAATCGAGCATGGTAAAGTAAATATATTTCCTGTTATATTTTAGATTAATTTCAATTGCACGGAGCATTTTTATATCCTTGAATCCCTAAGTTTACTATTGTTGTCCTCTGCTTAACATGTGTTGCAATTCCCGGTAAAAACCCAGAATATATAACAGAAAGATTCTTTTTTCTTTGAAGTTCAAGCATAGCTCCCCTTAGGCCAAAAGAATGTTGTAGGTGAAGAAAAGACTTATGTAAAAGTGTGTCCTCAAAATATGTCACAGGATTTAAGTGTCTCCCTCCTGTTGCCAGGAACTTCAGCCCTGGATAGGATCCACAGAACGTTTTCCCACATAAATTGGGAAATGTGTGAGGAGTGTTAGGAAAGGGATTAAATGAGGTTAGGCTTGAATGTCTGTCTCCAGTGTCTTTCAGAAACGTCCACATTTGCATGAAAACGGCACAAATTCAGGATTTCTTTTTTGTAATACTGGCGATGCATTCAGGAGATTAACTGCATTACTTGTACTATGATTTAACACTACAAGACGCTGGTCCACACAAAGACTGGCATTTGAAACTTCCAGATGGGAAGCAGGGAAGCCCTGCAAGTGGCCTGGGCTCCCTTTAGCAGTTTGGTTTAATTTCTTCGTAAACATTTCTTGCTGAAACTGGGGGTTTAATCACTTTGAGCGCTTTTCCACTGCACCAGGTACTGTACTTTTGGCATTTAAAAAAAGTACGGTACTTCAAGGTGTTGGTTTTCCACCGGCCTAAACTCT